AACTTTTAGACCGATCAGAAAAATGATAGATTTCCTTATTAATCTGAAAGAAATGGTACTTTGCCCATACGAGATCCTTTCCTCTCGATCATTAGCATGAAAACCCCTATTAATATGGTTCGCCTGAGTTGCCTTGCTAAGATGAGGACTTCTTTTACCAATCGGTACACTAGGGTGCTCCTTGCCGATTTGTAGTTTAACTCGTTCTACATGTAGTGTAATGGGGATGGAGACACGGTGCATCGAGATGTTCATATACGAGGATTCGTGTTAAATGAATAGGTGTGAGTGTTGGGCACTCATTGATCAATATTATGTATGACGTACATTCATATTATACCACGTGAATAAAATACATTATGTAATTGTATGAAATTGTACATTAAAATTTGTAAGATATTTGTAGGAGGAATTAGACTTTTATTTAGCCCACCTCGTTCATTTCTTCCTAGTATAGATAATATTGTTTGTTAAAAAAAAAATCACACAATTTTGCAAATTCCCGAAAAAAAAAAAAAAATGGAAGGAACGCAAGAAAGCAAAGCCAAAGCCAACCGACCGCCCGAAAAATAAAGTGGCAATGACGTGATTTGGTGGGAATGAGTGGCCCTTATCGAAACTAGGTAACTTTAAATAAAGAAACTTGCCGTCTCCCTCGCCAAACATTTCCTCGTTTGGTTGCGGGTGTCCTTCTCTCGTCGCGTTGCCTTCCCCTTCTCTCCCACTGAGAGCCTCACGTCACATAACCTGAAACCAACTCTCGCAATTAGCACTTCTCTGAGATTCACGAAAGCGGAACGCTCGAGAGAGGGAAAGAAAGCTTAGAGAGAAAGAACCAATGGCTGTGAGTCTGAATTCGATGCTGACCTTCCCGTCTCACAGCCTCACTGCCAAGTCCCACAATCTCAGATCTCCCAAAATCGTCATGGCCTCCACTCTTCACTCCTCCACCAAGTGAGTTTCCTTCCATTCAATTCATTTCTGCATTTTCATCGCATGTGTGCGCGGCTGATCATCTTGGGGTCTCGGATGCCCACTTGGCGAAAATGCAAATGGGTATCGCCAAGAACGAATTTTTAACCATTCTGCTGATCTGGGTTTTTACTTTGCGAAAGGTTTATGCTAATTCAGCTGAATAGAGGCCCTTTTTTGATTTCTGGGCTTCTATTTTGCGTTAATCTCATTCATTTTGTATGCATTTTGAGAAATATTTTGTTATTGTTGAGGTTTGTGGACGTAATTGAAATTTATTTTATTCCTATTTTATTTTTTGTTTAATTTTTGGGAACTGGTTGTTAGCCAATTCCTTTTTTCTTTCACCTGCATGCATGGTTCGCAGTTCAATTTTTGCTGCAGGACATATAAAAGAACTTCTAATGATGATTGGATGTTTTTTGAACCTTATTTTCTGAAAAAATTAATAAAATCCTCTTTGTGCTCTTATTGCTATTGAATATATTCTATTGATCTTGCTGGGATATTTTAAAAGTTTTTCTGTTATTTATGAAAATCGCTAGTAGGTTTTCTGTTTGTTGTTTTCAATCTGAAGGCATGCGTGTGTTATTTAACTATTTCTTACATTAGTTGAGCTGTAGATCTGATTTCTTGAGTTTCTCTTTCTTTTTGAACTGTGTCCTGTAAGTTGACTAGTTTCATTTATTTAATCGATTTATTCAGTATATGTTATTTCATATACAAGTATAATGCATCAGTTCCCCCCGTTTCTTTTTTTTTTTTTTTTGTGCAATTTGTTGTTTTGTATTTCTCCGAGTACTTGCTATCAAAGAGTTATGGAGAAAGAATATGGGAGAAAGGGTAAATGAAGAAAGTTGGTGGGAGGGAGAAGAAGAAACAAAGAATAATTAATGAAAATAAAAACAGCTTTAAAATAGTTTTTGGTTTTTAGTTTTCATTTTGTGTACTTTTCCTCATACATTTTCTCTACTTCATTCAGACAACTCTTCTTCATCCTTCTTTCCCCCATAAACTTTCCCCATATCTCTAGCACAAAAAAGTGAACTAAAACTAAAAACTAAATGGCCCTTTTTGTGTGCTTAATGTTTGAGTCTACGCATTTGCTTGTTTGTTAATTATATATCATTTTATGGGTTCGTGCAATGTAGGTTGTCGGGTCATTGTTTTCATTGTGCTAGACAATTATTCCTTATATTTTCAAGCGTGTACGTGTCATACTTGTTGATATGGTTAGTGGTATTCTTATTGAGATTTGCAGTGGTATCCATGAAATCCACTATGTCCATGTTCTCAAGTTTTCAGTTTTAGCTGTTACACCGTGAGGCACAACTACGGTTTCTTCTGTTCAGTTTCACTTCTGAATTTGATAACTGCCTGTATATTTGATTTCTCCGTTCTGTATTGTGGTTGGTCATGTTTGTTCGCGTCTTCTTAGACGAGCTTACATCTCTGTTCACTCTCACTCTCTCCCTCCCTCTCCTCTCCACCCACCTCAATCGGCAATCTTAGTCTCTTGCTCGGTTCTTCTTTTTGTTAACTTTGTATTACTCTATGTACGCTCTCTCTCCCACCTCTATATAGTTATATAGAGAACTATGAGGTTGTTAGATTCAGTAATTGAAGCATACCAATTTTAGATCTTTTCTTCTGTTTTTTACAGAGAGACTGAGAATCTGAAGAAGTCTTTTGGCCCTCCACGTGAGGTACATGTTCAGGTGACTCATTCAATGCCTCCTCAACAGATTGAGATCTTCAAGTCATTAGAGGATTGGGCTGAGAATAACATCTTGGTGCACCTAAAGCCTGTTGAGAAATGTTGGCAACCACAAGATTTTCTTCCACTTCCTGAGTCAGATGGATTCGAGGAGCAAGTTAAGGAGTTGAGGGAAAGAGCAAGGGAAATTCCTGATGATTACTTTGTTGTGTTGGTTGGTGATATGATCACAGAAGAAGCCCTTCCAACGTACCAGACAATGCTTAATACCCTAGATGGAGTTCGGGATGAGACTGGTGCAAGCCTTACTTCCTGGGCTATTTGGACCAGGGCGTGGACTGCTGAAGAGAATAGGCATGGTGATCTTCTTAACAAGTATCTTTATCTCTCTGGACGAGTAGATATGAGACAAATCGAGAAAACAATTCAGTACCTTATTGGATCTGGAATGGTGAGTTCTTTGTTTCCTCTCATTTTGTCTGTTTTTGTTATTTTTTGGACCGTGATATTTTTTTGAGACATTTCTGAGTCCACGCTTAGGAATTTCAACATTGTAGCTAAGATTTTAAAGTTATATTAATCTTGAAGGATACAAACTTGTGAACTAAGGGGCAATGCAATTGTTATCTTCTTTTTTTCTTTTACATTATTTGCTGACTGGAGTTTGGGATGCTTAAAACTTTTCAGCTGGTCATAAATATATTACAGTAGGGAAGATGAGAACAAGTCATGAAATGTTAATAGTACACGATGTCCTAAATTTCTGGCGTATATGGAAGACTTTCTTTATGTTCATTTATAATACTATGCTTATGGCACCTCAGAGAACCTCTGCATTGTAACCGTTGTGGAATTTTAGTCTAGTTGATTTTTTAAGGGCATGTCTAATTATCAATTCCTTGATGTAAAAAAAAGGGATGTTTAAATTTCTGGTGATGATTATGAACAAAATGGTTGTCTATTATCTCATGTCTGCTTGGAAAATGAAGCATTTATGTGTGACTTATTGAGTTAACAAACTATTTCGAGGAATAGCCATTAAGACATTACCTTGATTAGAATGTTGTACCTGCATGATTGTCACTTATATTCATGGATGTAATCTCATGAGTTATCACTACGATGATTTAGAATAGACACACAAGCACACACACGCTGACAGAAGATTCTTAAGAAAGAACATCTACCCCATTCTCCCCCTCTCCAATTTTGGTTGCTTGATTTAAACTCTGCACAGCTTACGCTTGTTAAACGTAGCTGAAATTTTCTGTTTATACTGTTATTACCATGACTATTGTTACTTTTATTATTATTATTATAAATATTAATATTACATTTATACTATTTTGGTTTTCAATTTTGCGTTTTCTGTAGGATCCTAAAACAGAGAACAATCCCTACCTTGGGTTCATTTACACTTCATTCCAAGAGAGGGCAACATTCATCTCCCATGGGAACACAGCCAGGCAAGCCAAAGAGCATGGGGACCTGAAATTGGCTCAGATATGCGGCACCATTGCCTCAGATGAAAAGCGCCATGAAACTGCGTATACAAAGATTGTGGAAAAGCTGTTTGAGATTGATCCAGATGGCACTGTGTTGGCCTTAGCTGACATGATGAAGAAAAAGATATCAATGCCTGCCCACTTGATGTACGATGGTCAGGATGATAATCTGTTTGATCATTTCTCAGCTGTTGCCCAGAGGCTTGAGGTGTATACTGCCAGGGATTATGCTGATATATTGGAGTTTTTGGTTGGAAGATGGAATGTGGAGAAGTTGACCGGTCTTTCTGGTGAGGGACGCAAGGCGCAAGATTTTGTGTGTAAATTGCCACAGAGAATCAGGAGGTTGGAGGAAAGAGCACAGGGAAGGACCAAGGCTTCATCCCTTGTTCCATTCAGCTGGATTTTTGGTAGGGAAGTAAAGGTTTAAGCAGGTGGTGGGTGCGTTGTGCAAATTCGCCCCTCACCCCCGCCCCAACTATCCCCATATCCTACCGTGTCTGGTAGAGAGAGTAATTTCGGTAGGGCTTTTGTTGATGCACTGTTTATTTTGTCTTATTTGTCATCCTACCTAGAAACTAGAACAAAAAAAAGAAAAAGAAAAAAAAAAGGGAGAGTAAGGATTGTGTTGGTTTCGTTTTCCCTTTAGAATGAATGAATGAATGAATGTGTTGTTTATGAATGAATGAGGTGAATGATTTTATTCTGTAAATAATTCAAAATACTAGCAGTCCCAACCCAGCCACTGCCAGGCACAACAATTCCAAAACTGGTAATTACAAATTTTCGAGCGAGCGAGCGAGCAATTGAATTTGAATCAACGAATTAATTACTACATAATAATAAGCAGCGGTAGCAGCACATATGCATATTATGATAAGGGGGATATTTTATAGAATATAATTATAATATGAAATCAAAGGAGCCTCTGCCGAAGTGCAGTTGTTGTATGTTTGATGTTCCGTGTCAGACTTGGAAGGGCCATGGCCAGTCCTTCAAATCCTCGTCAGCTGCTTGTTGCACCTTGGAACTCCTCGTACCAGCACCAGCACCACTTCCCTCAACAGAGGCATAGTACCTCAGGAAGAAGGCGAGTGTGAGCACCACCCACTCCAAGCAGAATATCACCACGCTCAGCCCTCCTGCCAATTTCAGAATCACACTCCCATCCTCTTCCCTCACGTACGACTTGAGCTCCCCGAGAAAGTCCCCCGTCCTCGTGAACACCAGCACCGCCACCGACCCTTGGAATATCGCCGTCAGTACCGTCGACACCATGTGCGCTCCGTACCACTTGGAGCTCGACCTGCTCCCCGCCGCCGCGCATCCCGAGATGGCCCCGGCAATTGTCAGCACGTGGAGCAGGATCAAGAAGAAGCCGCACACCGACGGCAGCAGCCGCAGAGACAGCGTCAGGAAGATGCAGCTGGAGGCTGCTCCCAGCAAAATGTAGTTGCTCAGCAGGAACACCTTGTGGGTGTGGTATGCCGACTCTGACCTTGCTCCTCCCAACTTCGCCACATTCATCGACATGCCACCCATTTCCGAACAATTATCGAATGTATGTGTGTGCCTAATTTGTAGACTGTACCCACTAAATACAATACTAGATGGATCTGGGATTTCTCAAAGCTGATATTCCCCTTTTCCTAATCGAGAGAGAGAGAGAGAGAGAGAGAGAGAGAGAGGTTTATGATTCAGGATTTCAGATTGTGGGGCAAAATCCCTATGTATTTATATATAAAAATGGGGTTAGCGGAGTGGAGGGCTAACGGTCACCTTTTCTTTTGGCTGTCAAGTGTGATGTGAGAGGCTCCCAAATCAAATATGCGATTTCTTGTTCGTGAGGATCAGAAATATGACCGTTGGCGTTGGGACCAAAGTTAAATATTACCAAGCTTTTGTAACGGCTACTTGATTAATTTTTGCTCTTTATTTGTTTTTGTCTGATTCAATTATTTTGTCACATCTTCCCATTATTCATATGCTCTTGCAATATTGAATTGACTAGGATTCAAGAGGTACGATGAAACTATTATTATAATTCAGTCGCACTATCGAGAAAACTTTTCCTACAAACAGTACTACTCCCTGCTTTTGGACAAGTAATCCCATTATTTCTAGTTCTCATCCAACCCTAGTAATTTTGATCAATATATATATGAAAGCAAAACTTATTTATGTATTTGAATTACCTACGTTCAAAGTTGTAGCTCTTCCTCCAACCAAAAAATGACAACCTCTATATAAATCAAAAGCACCTCATCAACACACATTAATTACCAATAAAATTGTAAACGGACATGATTGTATAAAATGAGTAATGTTTTTCTTCACTTGTAAACAAAAGTTTATCTGTTCAATAAAATTGACTAAAACATAAGGATATGTAATCACACATTTAAAAACATGGTTTAGGAATGATAAACCAAATGCAAATAGGTCGTTTAACTACTCAATGACAACTGCGTCATCCTACTTTAAAGCTAATACAGAAAATAACAACAAGAGAAATGAGGGAATAAGTAACCGGATTAAGTGGTCTTGCCCAAAACCCCTTTTGTTAAAATACATTTTGATGGTTCTGTTGTCAACGAGGTTGCGGCGAGAGGCTTTATTATAAGGAATGCTCAAGGTAATCCTATAATCGCTGGTGTGTTGAACCTAGGAGAAAACACTATTTTTGTGGCGGATGCCTTGGCTCTTCGTGAGGCTATGAGATTGACTAAAAGGAAAAGGTTGAACAACATTATTGTGAAAGGAGATTCCAAGCTTATTATTGATGTTATCCAAGGGTTTTGTGACGCTCTTTGAGAGATTAAGTCCATCTTGGAAGATGTTTGATGGTGTGTTGCCTTGCTTCAGTAAGCCAAATAAAATCATGTGCTTAGGGAAGCCAATTTTGTGACCGATGCCTTAGCTTCTATTGGTTTGAAAACCTACACATTTGGGATTCTTGTGTCCCGGCTGGAGCTCAGAATGCCTTGTCTTTTGAGTGTGGAGGAATTGGATGTACTAGAGTGTTGGCAATTTGAATGAAATTTTCTTTATGAGCCAAAAAAAAAAAAAATTAAATTCAGATTCAAGGAATGGGCCGTATATGAATTTGGTTTATGGGTAGAAGGGCTTTGGACCTCGACGGGTCAGGTCGCAAATTTTGGACCCAAAAGAACCAATTAGGCCCAAGTGATGGGAAAGAGCCCAAAGTTTTCCATTCTTTTTTCCGATCAGTTTATTATTACACACCATTACATTTACAATTTGGTCTGTTAGTCGGAGTCGCAGGCAAACGATGGCGTTGGAGGAGGGCTCGCAGAATCACCAGCTAGAAGAAGAAGAGCAAGCGCAGAAAATTCAATCGGGTGCGTGGCGTGCAATTATTTCTTTATATTTTGTAATTTTCGTTGTTTAGCAAAATGACCTCAATCCTAATCGTTGTTGAGCAAAAAACCCTTGGAAGTTGGAACCTGTATAAATATATACATATAATTAACGTTGTATGAACAAATACAATGCAAGAATAGAATAAAAGAAAAGGTTTTTGATGTGATTTGATTTGGGTTTGATTTGTAGGAGTTGGAGTTGCAGCAGCAGCAGGAGGTTGGGAGCAGAAAAGATTGGGGATGGAAGAAGAGTTGAGTGAAGTAGGATGGTTCATTCTGGGCGAAAATCAACAGCATGTTGGTCCCTACGCATTCTCGGAGCTGCGGGGTGAGTTTGTTTTGTTTGCCTTGCCCTACCCTTACCCTAGCAGCACCTTATATTATAATATTTATAATCTATAATAATAATAGTAGTAGTAGTAGATTATATATAGTATGAATACGAATATGAACATTCAATTGTCTTTGCAGAATGAAGAATAGTGATTCACCTTTATTGCTATGTAATGTTGAATATGGAAATTGAATTTAGTGGCACATTGTTTCCTTCCTCTCAATTAAAAGTTCTACTCGTAATCAATCGAATAGAGCAATCTTTCAGTCTCACTTATCATGTTCAATTTCACTTCTAATTTGCTTGCTTACTTTGCGACAGAGCATTTCTCAAATGGTTACCTCACCCTCCATACGCTCGTCTGGGCTCAAGGAAGATGCGCATGGCAGCCACTCTCCTCCATTCCCGACCTCGTCACTGCAATATCTCACCACGACCAAGTACCTCATGTTTCAACCGCAGGTCAATCATTTTTCTTCTTCTTTGGAATTGGATTATCACTTCCATGAATTACAAGACTGACAATTTATTCACTTCCATTGCCGTGCCCCCAATCCCAACTTATGATGAGGAAGACTTTGACAAATGGCAGAAGCAGGTTAGTGAGACAAAACAAGCAGATAGTGACAGACCTTCCATGCCCCCGGAGGGTGAGGAAGAATTTACCGATGATGATGGGACTACGTACAAGTGGGATCGGGGTCTTAGGGCCTGGGTTCCTCAGGTTGGTTCATGGTTTCTACAACTTCTTATGCTTTTCTTATATTTTATTTTATTGTTTGTAGTGGTTTTTCTGTTCATGGGATAGCTGGTAGCCTGCCAATGAACACACGCAAGTCGATTTTGTTGTTTGGTTGCACATTGATGAACCTTGAATAGAATGTTATTCCAATTTTATGAAATAGGAAAATTTGAAATCAAACTTGAAAATTTGTCGTGTATTTGTTGAATTTATATTTGACTGATTTAATTTCTATTATCTAATAGGATAGCGCTTTCGGAGTAGAAGATATGACATTTTTGCAAGAAGAGGAGGTTTTCCCTGCTGCCAATATTTCTGAGGCCACCGCAAGGGAAGAGGTTAATGCACCTGTAAAGGCTTCTGATCCCTCCAAAGAAGATGATATCAATGGTAGAAGTGAGTTAGAAGGCAATCAAAGTTCTAAGAGGAAATTGTTGGATAAGGAAGCTGACAAGAAGGTTTGCCCCCCTTTTTTTTTTTTTTTTTTTTTTTTCTTTTTTTCCATCAAAAGTCTGCTAATCAAACTGTATTTTCTGGGGATGTGTGATTGGATCCTATTATTAAATTCGGTTATGCCAGTCTAGACTGGAAATGAACTATGTGTATAGGATTTATGTAGCAGTAATGGTTGACTCCCCCCTGTCTTATTTCCTTGTATTTTCAGGAAGCTAATAAACCTCCTGATAGTTGGTTTGAGCTGAAGATTAACACACATGTTTATGTAACCGGATTGCCTGATGACGTCACAGTCGACGAAGTAAGTCACTGTCATTGTTTCATGATTTCATCCTCTGTATTTATTGGGGCATGTTACTAATTTTGGAGATATTCGTCAGGTGGTAGAGGTCTTTTCCAAATGTGGGATTATAAAGGAGGTAAATTTTTCTTCTTCTTTTTTCATAAAGTTCATGTTGTTACTTTGTTGATTAGTACCTGACGGATAAATAAAGTTGAGCTCAGAATTGAATTAATCTTTTTGGAATGGAAACTTTAAAAGATGCTAGTACTTATCTGAGGTTTAGAGTTAAAAAACAATCCGTTATATAGCTTTGAATCATATTTTGCATAATGAATTTTATTTTTTGTAGTCCAGTGTTTATTTGCAACCAAATTCTTAGACTTTTTCTTAAGAGTTATTGTCAAATTATATTGGAAAGTGGCCTTGTTATTGCATCATGATACTAAGTGTGAACATCTATGCACTGCGTAGCTTAATGGATAAATATCTGCTCTCATACTTAACACCTTATAAACTCGATACTCATTAATGATATTTATAGGATCCTGAAACAAAAAAGCCTCGTGTGAAGTTGTACGTTGACAAAGAGACTGGAAAGACAAAGGGAGACGCACTTGTTACATATATGAAGGTAACAATGCTTTTTATTACTTCTGCGGTCTTTGTGATTGTAACATGTCATATCTGTGTATCTTGTTAGATGTGTTTATGTGTACTATAGGAACCATCGGTTGTTTTGGCTACCCAAATTTTGGATGGAACACCTCTACGCCCTGGTGGCAAGGTTTTTATGTCAGTCACCCAAGCTAAGTTTCAGCAGAAAGGTAATTGTTAATACGTAGTAGTCAGATGATATTGGTTGAACTGTTTTTTGCTTTGTATTTTTAGTTTGAGATTTTAACATTTTTGCTACTTTATAGACAAATGAGAGAACTACTTAAAAACATCATCGACACAGTATTAGAAACATTTTCAACAGCATGCCATAGATTATGAGCTTTCAATTGTGTTCTGATTTATTTATGATCTTTTGTTATGTATCCAGGGGACACATTTGTTGCCAAACAAGCAGACAACAAGAGGAAAAAGAAACTGAAGAAGGTGGAAGAGAAGATGCTTGGCTGGGGTAGGTTATTATCTTAATATTAGTCGTTTTCTTACTTAACCTTATTTTTCATGCTGATTGATAACTAGAAGGCTTCTTGCATTAGATATCTTAATTCTGGGGAAGGAATACCTCATATTTTGATTACTTTGCACTTATGCTTAAAGCTTCTAGTCTTGTTGTCCAAATGTAGTATGCGTAGCTTCTGTAGTTAGTTGTTCCCTCTCTTTGTGAATAATAATATGCTTTTTTGTTTTATCATATGACATATATTATAGAAGTTCTACATTTTGAGTTTTAAAATGGGGTGTGCTATCCACACATCCCTTTTTACTTCTCACACACCCCTTGTTAATTTCTGTCCTTTGATCTTCTTCAATTCATCTGATCCAACAGCTGAAAATTGAAAGGGTGTGTGAGAAGTAAAAAGGGGTGTGTGTATAGCACACCCCTTTAGAATACAAACTACGTTTTCTTCTACCCTCAGTGTGTTCATTGTTTTAGTCATGAGGAAATTTCTGCGGATCATATACATATTCCTATGCTTCACAAGTAGTTTCTTGGTGTTTTGGTTTTACAGTGAAGCATAGTGTGAATCTGTAGTGTGGATGTCTGTGGATAATTAGCATATGCCTATGCGTCATAGCCTGCTGGACATGTTCTGTCATAATTTTGGCATGAATTACCTTATGTGCTCTGCAACACTCATAATATGATCACATTTTCTTCTTATTGAACAGCCGGCCGTGACAATGAAAAGGTGTCAATTCCAGCTACTGTTGTTCTTCGCTACATGTTCACTCCTGCTGAAATGAGGGTAAGTTCATAGCTGTCCATGCTGCTGGAAAACTTGTTTTTTCCTTCTGTGTAACACGTATTGACGGATCAATAGTTGCTGATGTTTATTTGCACACACAACTTTCTCAATATATAAAGCCTGTGCGAGAAGGCTATTTTATCATTCTGATCCAGTTCTGGTTACCTTTCTCTTAATGTTTACAGGCAGATGAAAATTTAGGTCCAGAATTACAGGCAGACGTTCAAGAGGAATGTGCGAAGCTTGGTCCGGTGGACTCAGTGAAGGTAATATACCCTTCATAAGCAAGTAAACCTGGCCTAGGACTAAACTACCGATACAGCATGTGTGTGTGATGAAGAATGGTACTCAGAATTTCTCCGTGATTTGTGCATACATGTCTATCTATGTTCTTTTTTCTTTTCCCTTTCCTAATATCCTCAGGTTCCCTTTTTTTTTTTTTTTGTAGGTTTGTGAGAATCATCCCCAGGGAGTTATTTTGGTCAGATTCAAGGATAGGAATGATGCTCAAAAGTGCATAGAAATGATGAATGGGAGATGGTAATTAATATTGTGTGTTTAGTAAATTACAATTGCCGTTATTGTGTAAGGCTGGGTGGATGGTGCTGCTGTGAGATTTTTCAGTGTTCCCGGAAATATGAGCTGGTACACCACTTGTGATGGCACTGAAAATTTTCTCGCTGCTGAGAACTTAATTGTCTCTTTTTTTTCGTTTTCCAATGTTTTTTAGTTTTCCCATTTTCTTTTGGTTCTACATTTAATTATTACAATTTTTTTTTCGTATGTTCATTTAGGTTTGGCGGTAGGCAAATACGTGCAAGTGAGGATGATGGTTTAGTTAACCATGCTTCTGTCCGGAATCTGGATGAGGATGCTGCACGGTTAGAGCAGTTTGGCGCCGAACTTGAAGCTGAATGAGTTTTATATCAATGCTCAATAGTTATGTTAGTCATACATCTGAATCAATATTCCTTGTGAAACGATCCGGCATCTGATGATCGTTTACTGTTTGTAGAAATTGTTGTCACGGGATTTATGAATTTGGAACAGGGCCATTGTGAAGATGTTTTAGTCGGGTCTTGTAGGTTGAAATATACTCGTAGTGCTTAGAAAGTAAAGAAGCGTTTCTGAAATTGCAAGTAATGTTGTATATTCTGCCTAATTAAGGTCTTTGCTGCTAACTTGGATACCTAGTCGAGTTTGTTGTCATTTTTCGATTTACTTGACTGTTTCTGATCTTTCTTTGTTCACGATAAGAAGTGTTGTGTCTGTAAAGGTCTCTGTCTCGAGTGGTTGTATGGACACCAACCCCAGAACTTTCACCTTAATGTTTCTCTCCCTGTTTTTCTTTCAATCCGCCTACCACCATGGAACCCTAAAATGGTTTTCTTTGGGGTAACAGTTATGGAGCTTTGACCTAAGAATCAAGAGAGAAGTAAGACGGGGCGTGGAGGAGAAGAAAAAAAGGTGTGTGAGAATCATCTTCCCAACTTGAATGGAGTTTAGGACTGTTATGCTGCGGACTTCGCTGGTTTGTAATGGTTTAACCGTGTTCCACTTCTATCCCCCCCTATAACACCAAAAGATGATGGACGTCGATGTTGCTGTAACCATGTTCACTAGAACAGACTGAAAAAATGAAAACTTTATGTTAATTATTGCCGGGCCAAACATTTTAAACTTGGAGAAATGCTGAGGAGGTTCTCTTGTAATGTTACCCTTCATGTACTGTTTGTCAATAATATTTTTTGCACAATTTTTTTAGATGTTTTCAAAGAGATTAACGTTAAAACTTAACAGTCCAGAACCTGACGAAGGAGCAGTTAGTTATACGGGTCGTACCCGGGAGCAGAAGCCCACGTTTCATTTTCTGCACTTGTCCTCCCCATCTCCCCATAGACATCAGGGTTTTCGAATGTGAACAGTACGGTCACTCGCTGTTTGAGTTGAGCAAACTAGGCACGCGGAGCAGACCCATAGACAAAGATGTGGAGGTCTGCAGTGACAGCAAGAGCAGCGTCCCTTTCGACGCGGGCGGCGGCACGGAAGCTGTGCGCAGCTCATCCAAACCACAAGGTGCTTTCCTCTAAAACCCTAACCCATCCTCTAGTTGATCAATCCCCCCATTTTCAGACTAGATTCCAAAACCCTAGGTTCTTCTCTCAGTTCTCAGAAATCCGTAGCGCTTCTGATTCCGCTCAAGGAGAAGAGCTACCCGTGGGATTTGGTGAAAATGGTGATTCCCAGCTGGACAATCTTGCCGCTGGGAATGGGGATGGGGACGAAAAGGGTTCGGAGGGTGGTTATGTAGAGTTGCGGAAAGGGGAAGAGGTTTATGAGATTGATTTGCAGCAGCTGGAGAGTGTATTGTCTCTCCTTCAGAGCAGTGCTGGTGGGAGTCTCGAGTCTAGTTTTGATGCTTTAAATTTGACTCTGCATCCTGAGTTTGTGGTTAAACTAGTTCAAACACCGCTTGTTTTGGGTGAGAATTTGATTAGGTTTATTAAGTGGGCTTTGAAGGAGAAACCCGACTTTAGAGTCACTACCCATGTCCTCGATGCGCTTGTACGATCTACATGTAGTGGCCTTGTTAGGAAGAGAGATGTATACTTTTTGTGGGATTTGGTTGAGGAGATTGGTGAGAAAGAAAATACTCTGTTGAGTTTGGAAATTCTCAATGAGTTGATATCCTCATTCTCAAAATTGGGTAAAGGGAAAGCTGCTTTTGAGGTGTTCAACAAGTTTGCTTGCTTTGGATGTGTCCCGAATGCAGATTCATATTACTTTACAATTGAAGCACTCTGCAGGCGTTCATTTTTTGTTTGGGCTCAGTCTGTTTGCGGGAAGATGCTTGATGCAGGAGCCTTGCCTGATGGTGAGAGAGTCGGTAGGATCATATCTTGGTTTTGCAAGGGTAAAAATGCTAAAGATGCCCATTTGGTTTATTTGTCGGTGAAGGTGAAGAAACAGGACCTGCCACGCTCGCCGGTTAATCTTTTGATCAATTCACTCTGTAGGGAGGATGAAACCGTCGAACTAGCTCTAGATATGTTGGGTGATTTATCTGGAGAGGCACGGAAATATGGGATTAAGCCCTTTTCAACTGTTGTTCAAGGATTGTGCAGGATAAAAGATGTTGATGGGGCCAAACAATTGCTTCTTGAGATGACAAGGGAGGGCCCGCCTCCAGGAAATGCAGTTTTCAATTTGGTTATCAATGGTTATTCTAAGGCTGGGGATATGGGAGAGGCAATGGAGATGATGAAGCTAATGGAGAGTAGGGGGTTGAAACCAGATGTGTATACTTACACTGTTCTTATACGTGGCTATGTAAATGGGGGTCAGATGGAGGAGGCTTGTAAAATATTGTCCCAAGCCAAAAAGAAGCATCCGAAACTGGGTCCTGTGACTTACCATACACTCATCCGTGGATTTTGTAAACTGGAAGATTTTGACAAAGGTTTGAAGTTGTTGGGCGAGATGAAACATTTTGGGGTCCAACCTAATGTTGATGAGTACAATAAGGTGGTCCAATCTCTTTGTCTTAAGGCTCTGGATTGGGAAATGGCAGAGAAACTGCTTGAAGAAATGAAGGATAACGGGTTGCATCTCAATGGGATTACAAGGGGTCTTATAAGAGCAGTCAAGGAACTGCAGGAGGGAGAAGTAGAGATTGCAGAAGCCTAAAAAGGTTATATGGTTTTTGGTATGTGGATACTACAATGAAGGTGTGCAAAATAAAGTGAAGCTTTGCAGTTTGTTCTGTTCATGGTGCTTGTTAAACATCTCCCATCTCAATCATATAGAAAATGAAGATTGGATATTTTTTTCAAATCTTTTAGTGGTCACTTGGGTAACTTCACAGCTAAGCCAGAGGCACGCCCCTGAAATTTGGGGACTAGGTCCCCTTCCTTGCAACATTCAAGTTTGCTCTTATTTTCGGGGTGCCCATTTGCTCCATCTTGATATCAGGGTAAAATAACTGCAGTCTTTGGCTTCGTTTTTACTATGAATTTTATGCCTTTTAATTTTTTTCTTGTTTGAATTTTGATGTAATTTATGTTCTTATATGCTATTCGAAGGTTAATGTTACTTGTGTAGATGCAGTTAAAGCTCAGGCAAGTTGCAGTATTTGTTCTGAATGAGGAAATTTTGTTTAATTGTGCCTCCGGCTTCTTTTATTTCAGTTGCAACCCTGTCCTCAAGTGGGTTTCAGTTCTTCTGTTGTGTTCTAAATGTGCATGTATGAGTAAACTTGGCCTGGTTATTTACGTGATTTTCTTCCTGAAGATCTGAAATCTGAAAAGCATTCGTCATAGAGCAGAGAACAGAAATGTTTCTGTTAGGGCGGAAGATGTTCTGCAAAGCTAGGTAGGTTCAAGCGAGGTAGCTAGGTAGGTCCAATATAAGCTGATTTGCTGATCGATAACCTATTTTTCCTGGTCGTGTGCTTTGAATGTTGTATAGCAGAACAAGATAGTGTCATTCACTGTTGATAAGCGTTGCAGTAAAGAATGTCATTCATAAATGATCCGCAGCATGAAGCTCTATTTGGATGACATGACAATACTCTGGAATGAATCTGGATTTGATGCCATTTGGGGCTCGAAAATTAATTACAGTGAGGAGCTTTGCTCTCCTGCGCATCAGAGGACAAAAGAGAAGGGTTGGGATTTAACTAAATCTCAACTCGTGAGAGAAAAAAAAATGTGCAGAAGAGAATTTCCGAAACAAGGAGTGCCTCTCACTGCTACTTTAAGTTGCTCCTTTTTTTTATTTTTTTTATTTATTTTTTTTTTAAATTTAATATTAGCAATCTTGCACGCTTGAGAAAAGTCTTTTTCTATATCACGGCATATGAAATTCATTTAAATTTTTCTCACTTGAGCATGCATAAAGACATTTTTTTATAAAATCATGCCAAACATTCTTTACATTACTAATTTTTACAATTATTTACAATAAAAGCTATACTTTTCTTACTCTAATCTTATCTTTTTAACGATGATAGAATTGTAAGAGAGCGAGCAAGGGGTTCTAAGCTTAAGAGTATGATGCTTTCGAAGGGCATAAGTTGTGGTCGTAAGAAGCAAGAGGATTGATACATAAGAAATTAAAATATCGATTCGCTTTGCTAAAGCTCTCAATATGTTAAAATTTGACAAACTAAAGAAAGAGTGCAAACCATAGAAACTATACATATAAGAAGAAATAATTATGTATTAGGCTTACCACCTTGATGAATAAAAGAAACGACAATGGCCAAAAGAATATCTAGGTGCTTATCTTCAGCTTCCTCCGCAAGTCCCTCCGCATGCAATGGCTACTTTTAAAAAATCATTCAGCAATATTTCTTGTGAATTCTACTTCCATTGAACCTCAAAATCAATTAGCGGTCATGGGTAGAGCAATTAAACAATTAATTTGTCTAAACGATAGCATTAGAAATTTAAGGATATATTAGGTACTGAACCCCACTTATGAAACAATGCATAAAATTACATGCACAGATAACCCCACTCCATAGAGATCAAGCAAGCATCTTATTGGTTGTTCTCAAAATCTGGTTGCGCATAACATCACCAACAACAAATAACTCCTCCCTTGACGCAGGAGAGACTCCCACCTTTTCTAGTTCTACACAAAAATAATCTGAATGCAATGGCAACTTAAAAGATTAAATGGTCGATTAGGTTACCTCTAAAATCTTGGAAAATTTGAACTTTAACTCATTATTTCCGTATCATCACAACCATACAAATTGAAAAGAACTACACAACCATCGGCAATATAAAGCTTTAAACTTTCTCCAACAAATGAAATCACAGAACTCAAACTTAAAGCGTGGAGAGCTAAGGCCAAACTACCAAAATACCCATGATTTTTCATAACACGCTGCCCCTCGCCATCAACCTTCAGTAGCTCATCTCTCTAAAACTCCTCAAGTCCTTCCGCAACCGCATTCATTTCTCATTTCCCACTGTCAAGAACCCTAGTGAACCCTTCAATCCGCCGCATCTAGCAACGTCACTTCGTTACTCGATAACATTGACTTCGCCCAGCAACCCTCGCCACACCTTCACAGAACCACATTAGTAGAAGATAAGAGAACTAAAAAATAAAAATCACTAACCTACAATTTTAGAGCATTGAATTAGAGAAAAAGATAGCAAGTGGTCCTTTAGATGAAAAGATGTTGAAAGCCTAAGTTTAAACCTCGTCGGTGACTAATCTAACATCTAAGATAAAAAATTAGAGAAAAAGATATGAATGACACCACTTTTTGTTTTGAGCGTGATTTAGGTTGAGGAGGTTAACTTATCTTTTTTATTCAAATGTGCAATTGTAGCGGGTGTGAAACTGATCTCTTTTTGATAACCGTATGTTGATTTCGTATTTTTCAATTTAATTTATTTACATTTTTTGTACAAAAATACCCTTGGCAATTCTAACCCTAATTTTTCTATCAACTTTGAAGGATTTTTAAGTCCAATTATTTTTTGTGAAGTCTTGAGACACCAAACTTGACTTCTGGCCTTTTAATATTAGAGATTAGAGATTAAAAATTATGGGAGGGGAAGGTTCAAAACTATTACAATAATTTAGGGAATGGTCGAACCCGGGACGCATGAGTGGAAATCTAGCACCCTATTTACTAGAATACTGAACTACATGTGAAAGAAGCCCAAATGCGCAAGAAGCCCAAACAGAAAGGACTATATAAGGAACCCCATTATTTTCAACAACTGGTGTAACTTAAATCATCATCCTCTATCAATATTAAGTTACACTACGATCCATTCGCATGTATTGTAGCTCAACTGAGTCATGCAAGTGCCTTTTATTTTCTTTCTTCTTCTTTTTCAAGGAATCAAGGAAAAAAATTGAGAGCGATAGAACTTAATTAGAATATGAGCATTTCCAACCATGTTTCTTATATTCAAGTTAAACTTTAGTCAAAATGACTATAAAATTATTTTAGTCAAAATGACTGTATAATTATTTTTGAAGTCATTCTCAAGATTTCAGATAGTGTCATTGATTCACTACTAAGCATATTAATATGATCTTTTCACTTAAATTTTACCACAGAGAGTGTCATTGATTCACTACTAAACATATTAATATGATCTTTTCACTTAAATTTTACCATATGCACAACTTGACAAGCATATATTTTTATCATAAAAGAACATTGGTGTAATTAGGATTGGAACTTTTCATTGTATAGTGCATTTTATTATGCTAAAATTCGATGTGGGATTTTTAAATTCTTCAACAAAACCTCTCATGTGAGACCACATAGTGAACCATAAGTGCAACCGATTCCACTTCAGTGATGATTTTTTTTCCCTTTGTAATTCAAAGCAAAGGAAGTCAAGGCAACACCCCAATACTTCAAGCAAGGGAAAAAAAGTAAAGACTAACAAACTTATTAGTCAATCATTAGAGAGAGATGAGGTAATGTTTCATTGTTAATAACATTGATGTTGTCCATCAAAAGTGTTCATGTAATTAAAAGTAAAACTATTCAGTGTATATTATACTTTAGTTTGTTAATTTAATTTTGCGATGGTATAATTAACATGTATATGGATAGTATATACGAGGAGTGCGAGGACAGAGGAAAAGAGAAATCAATATTAAGTCGTTACTTTCCCTGAAGGGCAAGGGCAAGATAAAGGCGAGTCAGGAGCTTGGAGGCACGTAATTAAAGAAGGGGAAAGAAAAAGATGCAACAGTTGTTGCTCCTGATGAAACCGTGAAACGTTCTTTTTCTCCATTTTCGCTCTCTCTCTCCTATTCTTTCTTTTTGTTTGTTTTGTAATGGAAATTTGATTTTTATTATTATAAATATTGGAAAGAGTGTGAGGCCAAATTCCAAGAAGGGGAGGCTGTTGAATTAAAAAGTAAATGGTAGAAGAGAAAATGAGAGAAATAGTCAAGATTCAAGGCCCTGCCCTCCTGATCCCTGCCTGACCTGCCTGGAATAATACTTACTAATTGATCGGTGTGGGCTGAGGATTAGTCATCTCATAGTCATGCCCGCCTGCCTGCCTACCTGTAGAGAGAGAGAGAGAGAATAGTGTTGGAGTTGGCACTGTCCCATAAATGCAAAAGGGTTGTGTTAGGCATTGAGGAAAAAAGATTCACACGATCGTGATTGTTCATCGTACATTATACAGTTAGAAATTATTTTAAAATTTAAAATTAAATATAAATAGTATCTAACAAAAATTAACCGTACAATATATAATAAACTATTACAATCGCAATATTTCTAGAATCACCAGAACGGATCCTTTTCCGGCATTGAGTAGTAAATACTGGATGGATTTGTCCTCGAATGACACAAGGGGGATCCCCTTGGTGCTTTTGTGGGGGTTTATTATTTCACTGCGCGGAGCCTGAGGCAGAGGTACAACCCGAAATAAATGCAAAATTTACATCTTTCTACAATTTGTTTGCATGCTCATATACTGATATGATTTGCTTCTTTCCTCCACTAGGAAAAAAAAAGACATTGAAAAGAAGAAATAGACGTACTAACGTTAGATAAATTATATTTTGGTGAGCCAATCATCATTTGTGATATAAGTAGAGCTCATCAATAGAAGTATATTTATCTTTATGAAGAGATGATATAATGTTATCTTCCTAATATTTTTTTCTAATATAGATATACTATTATAGTAATATTTTATGTTAATAATACAAAAACATGTAAAATAAATTAAAAAATATCTCTATATTATTAACATAAAAATTATTAAGTATACCCATACCATACGAATTCCCTTCCTAAAAAAGCCCATGTCACCCATTAGGCCACCACCGCGTAAGCTATCTTGAGTTTGAGTCTCACACCATCACATTCACACATTATTTTCAACCTAGACGACTTCTAATCTCCTCTTTGGATCTTTTACTTTGCTTCTTGAAGTCTAAGATCTAAAAATTAGGTTCGATTCTTTATCTAATGATATTTCTTTTTACTTATAAGTGAGGTTTTAAATTCAATCTTCATCAAAATTGGATTTGAACCACATTATTGATAGCCCCTATTATTGCTAGCCCATTATGCGTGACATTACCTTTTTTACACAACTTCTAACACAAGTTTTTGTGTGCCACTCCGTAATGCATTTTAAAGATTCAAATTGTTTATCTTTTAGAACATTACCTAAAGATCATCCTTGCAAAAACTTAGACAAATCCAAAATCACTAAGACATTCATTTGTAGTGAAGAAATTGAACGAATACGATTCTACAAAAAATCCTAAACCCTTAACCAATAGTTGTAAAAAATTTGGGTAATTTTTGTTAAAATATATTACATAATGAACCCCATAAAACTTGTGTAAAAAATTAATGTTAGAAAATAGTGCCACGAATATGTAGCAGCTACGTAGGCTTTGAAATGACTGAAAACGATTTTGGCGAAAATGTTTTTAGAACCAATCATTAGTAAATAGGCAAGTAAATCCTGGAGAAACACTTAAAGTGCTTCCTGGAAGAAGCACATAACTGCTGCTTCTTGCAAAAAACATTTAAAGTGTTTTTGAAACCCAAAAATATTTTCTTTAAAAACTCTTTCAATCATTTTAAAAACACATCTAAACGAGCCTATGTTAGAAAATAGTGCCACGAATATGTAATAGCTACGTATGTTGAATGCGCATACACACACACACACATAATATGATGAATGCATCCGAAAATAATACAATGGCATGCGTGCAAGAAGCGTCAAATTATTAGTATAAGTACGTACCCCAATTAATAGGGGTGGGTTCGGTTTAATTTTTTTGAGTTTTTTTCGGTTTGGTTTTTTTTTTCAATTTGGTTTTGTTCGATTTGATTTTGGTTTTTTATTTTATTTTATAAAACTTAATTTTTTTTAATATGTAATTTAGAAAAGAGGCTTGCATTGGTAGACTAATAATAAGAAAATGGGGAAAGTGGAAAAGTGGGAAATTGGGAAGGTAGTTGTACATGTACAAGATCATATAAATCAGTCATATTCATCAACAACCTCAATTACAAAGAAAAATAATCATCGTATCCATCCAAAACACAAACAAATAAAGAAGTTCTTCCAAGTTCCAAAGCCTTCCAAATTTTTTTTCTCTATAACCAATGAAATATCCTCCCTAATTGAACGAAGTATGCTCATTGAAAAAACCCTAGGCTTAGTTTTAAACTTGGCAACAAAATTTCATAAAAGAAATATCATGGGCATACATTCATAAAGTGTAAAGGGATTCGGTTCGGTTTGGTTCAGTTTTTGAACCTCCAAAACCAAAACCGAACCAATAAGGTTTGGTTCAGTTTGATTTTTTTTTTCGGTTTCGGTTCGGTGTTTGATTTTTTGAACCCATCCCTACCAATCGCTGATGAAAAAAAACATTATACATATAATTATATATATGAGCTAGAATTTGAAATATACGTTTTTGACACATGTCGATAAATATAGATGGTTCAAATTGTTAAAAATTAAGGAAACCTAATGAAGAAAATTTCAAAACTTTGATTTTCATTCAAAAATCATCTTATAATTTTATTTAATGATAGGGACAAAAGAAAAAAAAAAATACTAACTAAAGGCGCGTGCAACATACCTTTGTTGCTTTTGACTCTGCACCTAAGTTGCAGCACATGCACGGGAGTGAAAGTTCTTATTCGGAAGAGATTTTTCAGTGTGATTGGCATACGAGGTGATACATTACGTGATATTATATAAATAGTGGTATATGTATGTTAAAAAGTTAATAACTTAAAAAATAAAAATTTCCACTACTTATATAAATACACATAATGTACCATCCACGTTTCTGTCACAATGAAAAATTTGGCCATCAACAATGAGACCCCATTAATTTCATGTAAACAAACACGCAAAAAAAAAAAATCTGCCACTCCCCATTTATAGCAAATGGAAGCCTGCTTCTATTAAAAAAACCCATAAATAAAACCTAATAAGAATCACAAACCCAAGGAAAAAAAAATGAGAATCGAAGAAAATTCTTCCATTGTAGCAATTGTAATGTATGTAGAATTCTCCCTCTGGTATCTTATATGATTGATGAAGGGATTATTAATAGTAAATGCATAATATAGCAGATCATGCTAACTGCCCCGGATGACAGAATTCCCCTAGGAACCTGACGGACATCGACAAATATCTAGTCCTAAATGTAATTATTGAGTTTTCTCTTGGTATTATAGGTTTGTAATAGTAGAATGTGGCCTTGTTTTGTTGTGCGTGTAGGTGCTTACATCTTTATTTTTCGTATCATTTTACAACATTAAGACATTTTTTTTTTGGGTTTGTGATTCAAAAAAGTAGGATGAAAATCGAAGAAAATTAGAAGAAGAAAAGGTGTTTGGAAGGGAAGAAAAGGTGTTTGGAAGGTGAGAAAGTGCCGACAAAATTTAAGAAGATGAGAGAATAATGGTTGTGAGACTTCCTGGAGAATACCATATTCAATTTTAAAATAGTTAGTGCATGACAATCTTTCAGAAATAGTGTTGAGTTCAATTTCAAAAATAGTGTAGTACCTGTGTTCAATTCAGAAATAGTGTAGTACTCGTGTTCAATTTCAGAAATAGTGTGATATTCGTGTTAGTTTCAGAAATAATTAGTGTTCAGTTTTTAGAAATACTATTCAATTTCCGAAATATAGTACCGTTTAGTTCCATAAATAATATAGTGTTGTTCAGTTTCATAAATAGTCTGTATGATGGATGCGTGCGCGTCTTTTTTTTTTCTATTATATTTTTTATTATATTAAATTTTTGTCATTTTCATTAAAATTTAAATCATTTTCATTGAACTTTAAGTCTTTTTCATTAAATAAAGTTATCAAAATTGATGTTCTTAAATCCTAACCCCACATATATATATACCCTTTAAGGGAAGGATCCCCATTTTTTTTCAAAAATAGGGACACCCTCTTGACCATTAGATTTGGCTTTAATTAAATTTTGTGATTGAGATTAAATCACAGGCTACAGAATCTTAACCACAGAATTTCATTAAAGTCAAATCTAACGGTCAAGAGGGTGTCCCCATTTTTTTTGAAAAATGGGGATCCCTCCCCTTAAAGGCTTCATGTGTGTGTGTGTGTATATATATATCACATAGGCTAATGATAGAGAGTCTATCTATTTAAATCATATTTTATAAGCTATATGATATGGTTATTGACAATTGAAGTATTACTGAGGTCATCTCTAATAGAGAAGGCTAAAGTTTCAAAAGCCAAAAAAATGGTCTGATTTGTCAAAAAACTCATCTTCAACTTATGGGAAGACTATAATTTTATGGAGCTTATTAGGCTATTATTTGGCCAAAAAGGCATCATGTTGGCCATATGTAGCCCCCATCTTGGCCTTTTTTTGTAGCCCCGCTTCTCAGCTGCAATAATTTATTTAAATTCAACGACTAGATTTGAAAACATTCAACGATAGTTTAACTAAACTAACAAATAAATTTAAGGTATAAACTTTAAACTAATAAATTTTTGCCAAGTTAATTTGTGCATTTTACTAAAATTGGTGCCATGTTTAGCTTAATCGGTTGAAGATAATATATAAGTTTGACTTGACATAGTTTATTTAAAAATAATTTTTTAGAAGCTATAATTTTAAACAAGATTATATTTAATTCTTTTAGTTGGAGATAGCTTTAATATTGATAAACGTATATTTTTTTTATATTAGTGATAACATTACATAATTTAAAATTCTTAGTCTGAACATTTGATCCACCTAATATATACGAAGAAATATGGACATGCGTGATAGAGAATTAAAGAGGAGAGACAGATGACACTGGCAAATGCCAATTGCATTGAAGGCCAAAACCATCATTGCAATAGTACGTCATCATTGTCATGCAAATCAATTTTCTTTTTTCTTTTTCTTTGACTTGATTTGACCACGTCCGTTTTGATTTTGGACCCAAATAATGAAGGGAAGGGTGCAAGGGAAGATTGGATTTTTCAGTTTTCACCCATAAAAGGCATTGGAGGAGGGTTACATTTGGACCGTATGATAATCTTTTGATCAAATAAGAGTCTGGTAGATTTTATAGAATTATGATTTAATAATTGGTTAGAGATAATTTTTTAAAATTTTTTTGACTTTTGAACCTTTAATCGTCTTCATTAAAAATGATTGATGAGCTACTAACTTATCTCTTTCACTGATGCGTGATGAACTCAAATTTAAATGTGCATATGCGTAGCATCTGCAACTTAAGAATCTGTTAATGCTTTAATATCGGAAGAAAATATATAGATGTACAATCCTAATCATAATTAATTGAAGAAAAGCAATCCTCTGTACAATCAATTACAATTTTATATTCTGATTCGAACACTCCCTGCCTTCGTATAAATTTTAATTAATTAAATGCATGTTTATTTGTCTATGATTTCTGAATTAAACACTCCATTTTAAATTGGTACATAAATCTCAAACATGCCCAATTTAGCCACATGTTTTGCAAATATTTTATTCGACACAACTTTTGTTAAGACATGCAAACTGACCTTCCGACTTGACTCTGAGTATCTCAATAATCTTCCGGTCTAGCTTCTATTTGATAAAGAACGAATCTACTTCTACATGCTTCGTTTGATCATGATCAACCGGATTAGCTCTGATCTAACAAGCAGCTTTAATGTCACAATACCAATTCATAGCCTTTTCTCGGACCATATCCTAAATTTCTTACCATATTTCGTGACCAAAGCATTTCAGTAGTTCCCAAACCAATGCCTCTGTACTCTGCTTCAAGCGAGCAACAACATTCTGTTTTTTATTTCCACGCCATCAGATTACCTCCCACAAAAGTGAAGTAACATGGTGTTAATCGCCTATCATCAACTGATCTTGCCCAATCAATGTTTGTATACGCTTCAACTTTCAAATGACCATTCTTTGAGAGTAAGATGTCTTTACACGGAGCTGACTTCACATATCGTAAAATTTGCATCTATATATTGGTTTATAGGATCATGCGTAAACTGGCTTACCACACTGAAATCATAAGCCAAGTATGTCTGCGGATAAGCCAGATACATCAATCTTCCTACCAACCATTGATATCTCTTTTTATCACATTGGCATCTCGCGAGGAGGAAATATATAACTATACAAACCAAATCACAATTACTCTAGGAAATAATCAAGAAGACCTATTAAGAAAAAGAAGACCTATTGGGAAATAATCTAGGAAATATCAATTACAATATTTACATTTCTATTCTAACACTGCTTGCCTTTAATATAAATTTCAATTAATTAAATTCATGTTTACCTCCCTTTGATCTGTATGTCTGCTTCTTCTCCTTCCGGCCTAGCCACATCATATTTCTGATCAATCTAGCTAGCTAGCTAATCTCCTTTCTGTGCTTGATTTCTGTTGTTTTACATCGGATTTTGAGTAGGATTTTTTTTCATTTTTTTTTTCATATATTAAAGTGAGTATTCTGTGCAGAGGGTAGTAAATGGTCATGACATCTTCTCTGGAATAGCCTTTCATGTTTCTGGCAGAAGGAGAAAAACTAGGCTAACACTCTCTCTCTCTCTCTCTTGAGGTTTAGGGTCGCCTTAATTAATTCTCCCCCATCACCTATCCGTCAGTCAGTCATTTTGTCTTATTTCGTTGTCTTCTGCCTTTGTCCGGGAACGGAAGAAATGCCTTATGCTTGCTTAACAGTCTCCATGACTTCCAAACTAATTTTGCTCAGGCATTTATCATCTGTATCTGTATAGGTATATACTCTCTACAGTGTGTATAAATATACATATATATATGTATATTTCAAAATGCGTATATATGCTGGCTAAATTATTCCTTTTGCCGCGTCAGTCTAATTAAACTATGAGGACAAACACATATAAACCCTATTATTGGAAAAAGGACACATGATCGATTAAACTTGATTATTTCTCCACTTGCAATAAATATTGTCGAGTGACTTACAACATTTGATTTCACCAGTTGGTCAAATGACTTCTGAGTGCTGTTAGAAATTTTATGTTAACTCTAATCCCGTACAAACTAAAATGGTCATTAGTCATTTTATATACTAATTAACTAATTATTGTGGTAATCATATTTTGATGCATGCATACACGCATGCATCCAGCATCCATCTTTCCAGAACCACTATATCATCTAATTAATGTGGGGTGTGTGTGTGTGTGTGTATTATAGAAGTGACTTTGCTATCATAGGAATAGGATCATATATATGGGACTCCTGCAAATAGATATATCTGTCTCCTAATTTTACTGTTGAGACAAGGAGTGCAAAAAGAGTACAAACAAATCCAGACCCATGCACTGTGCCAGCTCCATAAGCGGACAGGAACTTGTGGTGTTATACTGTGACACTGCTGCGAGTTCAAGTACACTTTCTGGACAAACTTGTTTTTCCCTCTCCCTTTATTTTCTGTGCAAGTTCTTGTTCTTTTTCTCCCCATTTTTCTTTCTCCTTAGAGGACGGAGGAGGATACGCAATAATATTATATGCATGAAAACAGATACAGTTGATATACTATGTGTGCATGAGAAAACAATTTCAAAGAGACATAAGTTAGATATATTAAATTGTCTGTAAAACAGGTATTCGATTAATTAAATAAAACCTTCAACCTCTTCCACCCATCTCTCCCTCTCATCGCTGTTTATTTTGGCTTTTGAAAAATTTCCAACTTCGTTTCTTGATAGTACTTGATACCCTGCATGTGTGCCAAAACAAATGGATAGAAAGAGTTAACAAAATCATGAGTGTATGGGAGTCTGGGACTCTGTATCACTTGTAAAGCAAAACCTAATTAATCATATACTAACTAGCTAGCTTTTCGCATGACTTGAGATTGTCATACAATACAACCGTGCGCAGTGTAAGTATGATAGCATAGCGAAAAATCTGAGTCCGGACATCGGGTGCTATATATACACTCCTCACTGTATGTTTGTTATTAACAAATGATATTTTTTACTTTAAAAGAGAAGGTGAGTTTAGTCTCACAATAGGTTAGCAATAATGTGGTTCAAATTTGTCTTTGACAATAATCGAACATAAAACCTTTCACAAAGAGGAATACCACTAGGTCGTAATATTAAGTGGCTATATTCCTCACTGTTTTGGGTATAATCATTTTTCTGTGATAGTAAGAATTTATTTTGTTTTAAATGGAAAAAGGAAGAACAAAGAATTGATAAAAGTACTTTGATGTAGGTACGTAGGCATTTTGTTCAAACATTCAGCAGTGCGATTTGTGTCGTCTTCTTTTTCCCTTTGATTAAGTTGGACTCTTCTTCGGAAGTGCTCACTTGAAAATATTTAGGGTTTCTAAAATTTAAAAAAAAAAAAATTGTTTAGGGTGGGTTATTGGCACTCACATTTTGTTGATATTACTAATAATTTATATGTATTAATATAAAAGGGTTTAGGTTTGGAGGAAGGATTCTCAAAGTCCCAAGTCTACCGTGAAATAACATCTACACACCAAAAATCTTTTTCTTCAAATTCTCAGACATGCTCCCACCGTTTATTGTGGAATCAAATAAACCCCAAACACTAGTGACGTGAATTCTCATACACTTTGGTTTAAAAAAAAAAGGGTTAAATTTGACAAATTGAACATAAAATCGATTGTTGGCCGGTATAACTCTTTTTTTCATTTTGCAATAAAAAATTCTACTCTTGCCATCTAATAGTATCATCTCTCTAATAGAGATAAGACTCATATGTATTGACAGACCCTATCTCAATTAGAGGATGGTACAAATGATGGTACACTTGAGTGATAAGTGTAGCATTACTCTTTTGCAATTGGAACAATGTCATACTTCTGGTCAAACCAACGAGAGTTTTTTTTTTATTAATTAGATATTTCTCTTTATTATGGAGATATTTTGGTACCGAAAAGGTGAAGACATTTCTATAGACATCTAAGAAAAAAATTAAAGATAATGATGTGTGAGAGACAAATAATGGTGTGTGTGAATCATTTCCTTAAAACAATTTCGGTAAGCACCTTCCAAAGACACTACCTCAGTAGATTTTTGCGAAAAAATTCAAGACTTTCAGCATTTCTTCGCTGAAACTTAACTCACTTTCGGTTGGAAGTTACTGACTTTTAAAACAATGTATTACTTGGGAGTTGGGATAATGTGCGGGTGTACGAATAATTTTTATTTATTTTTTGGGTAAAAGGGTGTGCGAATAGTTTGGCCAAGTTAAGTGGGTGTAAATGATGATTTTTTATTTGAAAAATAGAATTTAGAGTATTTTCGGTAGATAAGGTGTACTTAACAAACGTAGGATGTCAATCAAATCACTCTAGTATTTATAGTTAATTTTGAGTATTTTACTGATCATTTTAATAGTAAACAATAATAAATTACTTTTTTTAAAGAGTAGTAGTAAGCAATCATATATACGAGACTAAATTAGTTTAAAATTTTAGTCTTCTTAGCATTACCTAATTGGAAACTAAATTTTAAAAACTAAAGGATATGAAAGTTAATGATTGATTTATTACTTAAGCGTTGATAGATGTGCTGATTTCCATTGGTGACATATCATTTAGTTTACAATTTTAACCTCTAAATTTAATCTCCCTAGCATTATCTTTTTTAAATAACTAAATATGAACTTCAACAATTCATTTTCAGTCTTAAAAAAAAAAATTAATTAATTTTCACCATAATTAAAAATTTTGAAAACTTTTATTTGATCAGCATTTGGCCTGATTGATTGTATGTCAATTAGCGCATAATTGACCTAAAACAGTGATCATACAGTACTAAGTAAAGGCACTTATATATCCAACCCTCAAGAGTTAGAACAACGACAATAAAACTAATAAATGGATCACAACCAAACTGATGGTATTGTGGAAATGAAATATAAATTTGTAATTTATATATTTATGTATAACTAATAAACGTACCTTAATTAATTTGATGGAATTGGTTGAAGTTGTTGTGAGTAAATAAGGAAAAGAGGAAATCCTAATTATGAAGGATCAATGGTTCGGCGGTCGTCGCCAGCAGCAGCCCTAGTTTGCTGGAACTGATGACTGAGTTGGCCATGAATGCCCCCTGCAGCAGCGTTCATGGACAGAAGGCTTGCATCGTAGTTGTTTCCGGCATCAAAGTTCCTAATCATCATCTGTTGCTGATGATGGGAATGATGGTCTCGTTCTCGATCTCTGGGGAAAAACTGGTGGGGGTAGTGTTCTCGGCCACCGCCGCCGCCTGAAATGAGATTTATCTCCATTCCCAAGTTGTTGAGTGAAGAGGACTGTAAATGTAGAGGATGGTGGTGATTGTTATTGTGGGTGTGGGTGGCAGCAGTGGCAGTTGCGGCGGCGGCTATGAGTCCGTGGCTGGCAGTGAGACCCTGCAGGTTCTGATATTTGGAGAGTTCGGATTTAGCACAGGTCAGATCCATCTGAAGTTGGCGGAGTTGGTGCTGGAGGAGAGAGATGACTCCAACGCAGCCGTAGACGGGATCGCGGAGGCGCATGTCGGCCTCGTAGGCGAGAGAGTTGACGGCGTCCTCACGCTGGTGGGGGTGCAACTCGTTGAGCAATTTAGTGACGTTGCTGGCCCCAAAAACTTTGTGAACATTAGCAAACTTCTGCGGCTGGTCCGGTGGGAAGTATGGCGCAAATACGCACTCTGGCTGGCACTTGCGTCGCAGGAACTTACACGCGGCGCATGGCGAATTCGTCGACGATGATGCCATCTTCCACCTCTTCCTCCTCTGTAAATAATTTTGACCTATACAGTCATTAATATAACATATATAATATACGTGTATTAAATAAGACCATCACCCATCAGCATCAGCGTCAGCATAAAAAGATAGTGAAAATTCCAAAAATAAAATTCAATTCATATGGCATTTCCAGAAATAAACTGAAAATTAAAAAGAAAAAAAGTCTAACTACAAAGAAATGGAAAGAAAAAGACCTTATACATTCACAGAATTACAGATGGAAAAATAAATTTTTGGTCGATGTTTAGTTTTCTTATCAGTATCTTTAAACTTATCCAGTTACCATGACGGACAGTAATTAAATAGTTATTGATGATTATCTCACCAAACATTGATTTGAATTCTTACACCGAGTAACAAATGATGCAAAAGGGATGAGAAGTACGGCAGAAAAGGAAACAATGAATCATGATGAATGAATAGACCCAACCCGAGTGGAAAAGAAATTAAACAAACAAATGGGACTTAATAAAGAAACGAGTTGGAACAAGAAAAGAGAGAAAATGCGAAATCTATGGTATAATGGCCGTTTGCCATAGTAAGAGCAGCGCCGGCCAATCAAAGTTGGAATTTCCTTCTTAATTATGACCTTGAATAATTCCCCAATAAAACCAACTAAGTAATCAAAAGATTCAAAATTCGCGTGAACGCGATGGTCAGCTAAAATTGGTATATAGTATTATTTGCCAGAAAAAGAAAGTAAAAGTAAAAAGAAAACATTGATACATTCACTAGACAAACACGGAGACAAGATAAGATGCAAATAGCTATATCTCTCACCACCCCAGAAACCTTAAGCTGCGGGTAGCGGTGCAAAAATATAGATCTCCTCTTGTAGGGAATAGTCGACCACTAGATAAACACTGAGAGAAGATAAGATGCAACTAGCGAGCTAGAGAAAAGGAGAGGAGGAGAGAAGAAGAGATTATTTGATCGGGACTTTAATTTGCAGGGTCCTCTCTCTCTCTCTCTCTCTCCCCCTCTCTGTGTAGGGTTTTAATCGGAGGAAGGAAGGAAGCATACAGTAGTAACAATATTTAACTAAAAAAGAAAGAAAGGTTATTTACCCGTGGGTTGAGCCTGAGAGATCGGATCTCGTGATGGAAAGGAGTTCAAGAAAAAGGGGTTATGTTTCACCGTTCTCAATGAAGGCTTTGGAAGCAGATCTTGCTTGAAATTCATACTAGAAAAATTATATATTTTCTACGGGAAGATTTGTATGGGACTAAAAAAATTTTAATTAAATAAGACGACTTTATTGGGATGAACCAAGGTCAACTTACTTACCGGTAGTAACATGCTATAATAATGTCCAATAAAAAAGTAAAACGTCGAACCAAGTGTTAAAAATGGAAAGGAAAAAACAACAAATGCCGTCCAGGCCATGGGTCTTGATTGAGGACAAGAATGAGATAAAAAGAATAAGAATTAAGTGGATGTGACTCGACAACTCTGACCGTGTGGGTGGAAGGGAAGATTATCAACTCTTTTCAACTTCTATTTTCAACTTCTATTCTTATTCCTTTTATTGTCCTGAAAGTTTAGCAAAAGGCAAGAATAATAAACAACGATAAATATAAGTATTTATCAAATTAAAGATATATAAATATTTATTTATGGAAAAGGACAGCAAGAGTAGTACTAGTTCTAGTCTTGCGTGCGTGCGGTGGCCTCGATTTCTACGGTCAAACCTTTTTTTCTCGGTGGAACTTTTACCAGGACTACCACTACTGTACCAGACTAGTAGACTAGCAGTCGGTGTAGTGTGAAAATGGAGGGGAGGACCCGATATCCAGACCACAAACACAAAGCCTACCCTTCCAAACGTTTACTTTATTTTCCACATGTGGTGATAATACTAGGTGTATATTTCGATCTCTCTTGTAGTTGGATAGAGATATATGTTTCCTAGCTAATTTATTTGTTTCGACTTAATTTATTGCTATTTCTCTCTATATTTTTTCCCTTCTAGCAATCTACTATTAATCAGGAGAAGGAAGCGGTTGGAATACATACATACATATATATATATATATATATAAAGTTATATTCAGGGGTTCATGCAAATTTCGTCTTCTTTTGGCACTCTTTTTCTTATCTACCGTTTCTAATTATTCGCCGGAAAACAAATAGCACGGAATATGCATATAAAGATGATGCTCGCAAGGCAGTCCTAAGGCTTAGGAAATGACTCGTACGTGACTACGTGGAGAGAGAGAGAGAGAGAGAGAGAGAGAGAGGATTCACTACACTTGCTAGTGAATCAGATGTGAATCCGCTTTTATATTAATATCTAGGAATGTTCCCCCAGCAGAACCAGAAGCTAAAAAGAAAAAGAAAAGATCCCCCAGAATCAGTGACTATAAGAAGACCCGGACAAAATCAAACTGGAGTTGAGCTGGTGTTGGTGAGTGAGAGCGATCAGGTGATGCAAAATACATATGATGAGTTTGAGGGTATTAGTCTGTCCTTGCATAATTAAGTAAATTATAATAGTCCGTTGGGTCTTTGAGTTTATTTATTTCTCAGTTGTTCTTTTTATATGCTATAGTGCGTGTGTATATATGTAGTATTGATCACAGAGATTGGGTCTGTGATATTGGGAGTGACATGACCCATCTTCTCATCCCCAGTACCGTAGATACAAGTTATAGCAACTTTATCTCTTTTCCGTATGGAAATGAAAATCTTACGGATAATACATTCTTTATACACTCCCATATCATTACTAATTTACTTAACTAATCTCTTTTTACTAAAAAATTGGATAAATTACATTTTATCACCTCAACTTTGGGTCACACAACAAATTCATACCTCATCTTTTAAACATTGCAATATTATACATCGACTTATGAATTCGTTGTAATGTCAAGCCTCTAGTGTGCGCAGAGCTTTCTCTCTTTCTCGTCCAACTCTCGACTGTTTGATCTTTCAACATTATAAATTTCATGGATCACAAAAACGAAGCTGTGGCGTTGAAGATGCTATCCGAAGATTTTGATCCAACAATTGTGGTTGTTGAGCCTCTGCCTCTGGTTGTAACCAGTGCCGTAAACTGTGATCTCATTTAGGGGTAGGCATAAAAACCAAGAAACCGTGAAATCAAACCAAACCGAATAAAAAAAAAACGAAAAAAACATGCTGATCAAAACCCGTCAAACTTTGAATGAGAACTGGACCGAACTGTTTTGAACCGATTTTGGTTTGGTTTTGGCCTTCAAGAAACCAGTACAAACCGAACCGAACCGTGAGGATATTTATATGGTTTTTATTACATATTAGGCCCAATTTTATTTACCCACTAATTTGCCAAGTCCAAGTCCATCTTGTTTTTCTTAAGCCCAAATTATTTTTAAGATTAATTACATTTTACCCCATCAGTTTTTGGTGCACTTGCAACCTCATACAACGTCTTTAAAATATTTCAATCTCGTACATTTTCTATCATTTCATTGCAAATTCATACATCCATTAGTCAAATCATCAATTTGACCATTAAATGATGACGTGGCATATATAAAACCCTTATATTTTAATGACGTGACAAATAAAAATGAGAAATTTTATTTGAACTCATATAACATTTTTCTACACACAACTTAAATTTTAAATATGAAATGTCAATATTATCCTATTGCATAATTACCATCAAGTACAAGATACAATTAACAATAAAAATAAAATTTATCAATAAACTCGCACTCATTAATCAAACCCTAACAAAAAATGGCAGCACCCCAATACAAATCATGTTACTAAAAAATTGATCAGCATTACAGTTTTTATGTTTATGTTCATGGTTCTTTCTCTTACACAAAAAATGACTATCCAATGCAAATGAACAAGAAGTTTTCTCACCAAATAGAGTTGCTCTCAACTATATTTTCTATCTCCTTCGAATTGCTTCTCATGTATTTAGTTGACTTCTGAGTTTTCTGATTTAGAACAGATACAATTTGCCTAACTTTAGTGGATCAATTCCACCGCCGAGGTATCTATCATTAAATCTTTCTAGGGTATAGACTTCTTGGTCTCCTAAAATGTTGGCCCTACATAATATCTTATAATTTCATAGTTTTAGTCAAAATTGCATTTTCGTTCAAAAAAAAAAAAAAAAAGAAGTCAGAATTGCATTTTATTTTGATGACTTTAGAACCTCTCACAGTATAACGGAAGAAGAACAATCTTCACAACTTTTTTCCCCCAAAACTTTTGATTCAAGACTAGAATGTTCGAAATGATGCTTCTCTTAGCTCCTATTATTTTGTTTCATGGTACTGCAGATTACTCCATACCATCAGATGTCAAGTTTCCCCATAAATGAATTATTTGATTGCCTGTAGTTATTTCTTAATGGAAATGGTGTGAATCTATACAGTTGATGCAAAGGAACCTAAAAATAAAGGAATCAAAAGCAACTGTTGGAAAAGGAGAGAACGTACATGGAGAGAATGCTTTGATTTTGATTTGTTCATTTTCAAATGGGTGCAAATGCAATTTACATAATGAATTGGGTTTGTAAGAGTAGTTTAGGTAATAAATTTGGGTTTAAAGAGATATTACCAGTTTAATTAAAACTAATATGGGTGTAAAGAGTAAATTAAATGTAGAAAGAAGTTATATGAGTTCAAATAAAATTTCCTAGTAAAAATAATTAAATATTAAAAACTAAGGTGAAAAAAATGAAACCTCCACCCTTCTGATATTCCTAAAAATATGAAATACGAAACCTCAAAGGAGGAGATGCTCCGCCCACCCCTTCTTCCAGTCCCTCGTCCCGCATTCCATCTCTTTCTCTCTCTCCAAACTTTAAATTGCACATAAATAAAGCTTCAAATTTCAAACAAGATGAAGATCAAATCCCAAATTTCCATCCCAATTTTCCTGAGAAACAAACAGAAAATTTTCTTTCCGGGAAGCCGAAAAAGAAGAGCATCGCCGCTTCGTCACCGGTGGGTGTGGTGGCGGCTTTGCAGTGATGACGGTTGTTCGCCAACGGCTTTCAGTCAACTCCGACGGTTTTCAGTCGACTCCGACGAGCCAATTTGTGAGACTAGGGTTGAGACTGAGCGGGTGACTGGGTGTTGGATAGGGATTGGGGTTGGGACTCTCCACGGCCGAGCTCTGCTAGATTAACGCCAGTCCAGGTTTTTATCACAGAGCTCAAAAACAATGTTTGAGTCAAAAACTGAGTTACCAATGCCAATGCAAATTATACACAACCTCATCATGAATGAAACAAATTTAAATATCAAAAGAGAAACCTATTTCGTCTATTAAAAATAATACGAAGTTCTTTGGATACAAAAAAACACAAATTGCTTCCTGTCCAAAAACACTAATGGGAAATGTTGTTTATTGCAATACTAAAAGTTGTCCTTTGCTATGTTGGTCATTAAGGAAGCATCCCAGGCAAGGGAAAAAAAATTGAAATAAATTTATAGACAGTAGAATTATATCATGACCAAAATAAGGATAAAACGTGTTTACCTAATGTTTTTGTTTGCAGAAAGAAGTCTGATTTTGCACGAATGGAGATGACCTTCTCTAGCAATGCTATAGGACGCGATCAAACTTTGGTGATTTTCCAACTTGCCTTGCAACGAAGTTTGTACAAAAAGATATCAAATTCAAGAAAGTAATTAGACCAAGGCATAAGAGATTATAAGAAAAAGTTCAGAAAATATAAACCACATATATCACTTATTATACTACTTTGTATTCTGAATATACCTAAAAATATATCAATTTTTAGTGAATAGTTCGGTTCCAATTAATCCCACTTTAGTTTCTTTCAAACCCTTCAACTTATCCTAGACATTTTTTTTAACGGCATCATAATGAAGAGTTAGCTTCCATCAAATCCTTCAACCAATCCCACCCATACCTCTCTAACCCTTCATAATCCCAATTTTACTCTCTTAAACCCTTTAACCTAACATTGACTTTGTTTTTACAGCTCTTTCATTTAAAAACTTATTTTCTCTACAAAATCATGATAGTTTATGTCTTACATCACATTTTAAACTCTTGATTCATATCAAATTAGAATGAACCTCCAACATTAGAAATATGAGTAAAAAAATGTTAAGTAAAAGAATTTGCCAATTCTAATTAAGAATTGTTAATCAAACTGTAAAAGCAACATGAGTTTTTCCAACTTCAAACATAGAACTAACAGCGAGAATCCAATTGGAAATGGAATAGACCAAACAGACCATGAAGATTACACAATCAGAAGATGATATTTGAAGGAGAAGAGTTCATTACATAGTGTGATGATAACAAATCAAAAGCAGAAACTGAGAAGAGCGAAGAACTTGGCCTCAGATTTTCTCCAGAATAATTGAAAAAATAAAAAAACTTGACATGTAGGAATGATGATGTTATTTTCTCCAGACAAAAAACTTCATCTCTTAAAATATTAAAAATAATGTATGTGCATTTCATTCATATATTCTATTCATATCATGAACGTAAACCTCAAAACACAACTCATGGAACAACTTTTCTTACTAAACCCTACAACACGTTTTAAATTTTTTAAATAGTTATCATTTTTTGTTTTCTTTGCTAAATTCATTCATGTGTTTCTTAAATTTAAATTCAGTTTATAAATTTTCACATCAATCTTTAGAATATAATTTTTTATGTACTTATTTAAAATATGTTGTATAAAACATACTTATTGCTTCCACTTAAGAAAATTGATAACACAAAATGAATTAAGCTGGGAGGTTAAAGTAAGTTCTCTTACCAAATAACTGACGCCAAATTGACACAGAAGTATATCAACGTTGCATCGTCACAGGTACACCATCAGCAACGTTTCTTTACTGATTCAAACATAAACATGAATCAATTAAAAGCGCTAAAAAATGAAATAACACTTCAATTCTTTTCATTCATGCATTTCTTAAATTTAAATTCAGTTTATAAATTTTCACATCAATCTTTAGAAAGTTATTTTTTTATGTAATTATTTAAAATATGCTGTATAAAACATACTTATTGCTTCCACTTAAGAAAACTGATACACAAAATGAATTAAACTTGGGGGGGGGGGGGGGGGGGGGGGGGGGGGGAGGTGGTTAAAGTAAGTTCTCTTACCAAATAACTGAAGCCAAATCGACACAGAAGCATATCAACGTTGCATCATCACCGGTTCACCATTAGCAATGTTTTTTTCCTGATTCAAACATAAACATGAATCAATTAAAAGCGTTAAAATATGAAATAACACTTCAATCAAATGCATAAACAAAAGCAAACGTTAAGCATTGGAAAATGACATTGAGAAAAAAGCTACGTTAAATATTGTAGGTATTATATTTACAATTAATCTCTGTTTTTAAATAAGTGAAAATATATTAAATTCATAATAATATGCATAAACATTTTATTTCCTTGCAACTAATACAACAATATATAAAACACACTACATTCAATTTGGAATGTGAAAACAAATAATTCTATTCATGCAAAATTCTAATTCCTTTCTACCACATGAAAAATCCAATTACTCTGACTCGAAACAAAATAACTCGGAAAGTATTATACTTAATCATATTTCATCGAAAAATTGTCCACAAAATAAATTTTTTACCGACTCAAAAAGAACTTCAAAATATTATACGAAAAGAAGGTAATGCATCTTAAATTTCTAATGGTATTCAATGTCTTCTAGTTTCTAGTTTCTTGATAGACAAAATTAAATGCCATTAAATGTGTTCTAGTATCTTGCTAGGTAATAATATATGCATGCATTCATAATATATCTTATCGTTTAGGAATTTCTATCTTTAATTGAAGAGGAAATACTATATGCATGCGTTCATGTCAGCACATATATCCTTTCTATAAAACCATGAGCTCCAAATAATGTCAAATGGATTATAAGTAATGTAAGCAAGTGTTAGAATAAGGGACTAAAAGCATTGTGCATAAATATGTAAAACTAAAAACTATAAACCTAAAACATGTACAAAGTATTTACATAAAATATATAGTAGTTGTTCACTAACTCCAATATACATATAAAGAGTTGTTGATCCTATTTTACTGATGTACTTCAAAAATGTAGTGCTTTGACTACTGAACAGTGGTTGCCAGCTCGATCCTTCCAACCCATCTCATCAGGAAGAAATATGTGAACAATGATGCATCATTTTGTTTGTGTAATGATAATCTGAGTTGATAAGAGCAAAATCCCTTCACCAGCCTAACGTAAAAATAAGTCCAAGTAAATTCCCCAAATTCTAATTATTGAAAAAAATGAGATCCATTCGGAGTTAAATAATAGCGACATGTTGTGCAAAGATAAGATGCTATACAACATACGTCATTTGATCCAAAAGCAAAAGTGGCAATTCTAAATGAGGCGCCACAAACAGGTCAGGCTTAAACATTATCTCATTCTGTACATATGCCAAAATCATTTTGTGTTCATGAACCATTTTCTGATTCTTATTCAATGGACAAATAATAAATATACAAATCTGTTAACCCTTAGTTGACTCTCAACATGTGCTCGTAAGAGGGCTCTTCCAACATCCTGAAATCATGTCAAGAGTTAAAAAGGAGCAAGAAAATACTAATGTAAGAGCTCTGTAAAATTGAGGCAGAGCATATTACCTTATAGGGCCTCTTTAAAATCAGGTGGACCAAGTTCTATTGCCATGGTTTCATCATCCAATTTGTCAACCATCTGAAAAATGAAAAGAGAGTATCTACTTAAGTAAAATCTGAAAAGTAATAGCAAAAAATGAGTCGATTCAGAGCACATAAAAATTTAAATTCTTCAATAAAAACCCCAAAAAGAAAAGCTGAAATTATATACCTCAAGCACAAACAGCTTGGAAGCCTACGCACAATAGCCCCAAAAAATGAAGACCACTGTTTCTTGAAAATAAAAAGAGAACCAAATCATAAAACAATAAATTTCAATTCATTTACAGATCCCACAATACAAAAGCCCCAGATTTAAACAAAAGAAAACTACCCATTTCACATCTCGAAGAACTCACCAATAAACCCTAGAAATTCCTTCAAATCAAATCTAAAAACTGAACATGAGTACCTGAATTGAATAAAAATTAAAATACAATCAATTAACTGTTAACAATTTTTTTTCCCAAAAAAAAAAAAAAAAAAAAAAAAAAAAAGAAAAACCCTTCAAACACCCCAAACGATCCCAAATTCTCAAATCCATTCAAAGAAACTTACCATGAAATCACAGCAACTTCACAAATCCTCTTCACATCTGCACCAAAAATAATGAAAAAGAAGTGTAATCAGCCCAAGAAACAAAAGATCAGTAGTAACAAACCAAGAAAATCAAGTATCGGAGAAAAATTAACCATCATCATTTCTCCTTTTTTAAATTTTCACGCAAAAAATTGAACCAGAAACGAAAGAGCAACTAAATATAACAATTCCTTTATTGCAAAAAGCTGATAACTCATACAACTCTCAGACTAAGGCAGGAAATTAGTATTAAAACTAACGATTGAATTACAAAGTGAAGAGAGGAGGTAAGTTCTCCTGAGTTGTAAGAATGAAGTAAACATTATCCACTACCAAAAATTCTCATGTCCACCTTTATTCACATCATAGAAAGTCATTGATTGGCAACGGTTCATGGAGTAATGGCATAACTAAATCAATAAAGACCTAAAATTTTGGGAATACCCGCCATAGAATCCCCCAATATCAATCCTTCTCTCTCCGCATTTCAAAGTCAACAACTTCTCTCTCCTTCCCATCTCAATATATACTATATAACAACAATTTCTTGTTTCATTTCAAAAAATTTTGAATTTTTCTCCATGAACACACAACTACAAAGCTCAAACCAATACAAATATTCTCATTTTATTTGTGGTACCACCTCGAAACCAAATATCTAAACACAATTCAATCAAATGCCCCCCACCCCCATTAAAAAGAAGCATAATTCAATGAACAAAACTAAAAAAATTAATAGATTGGAGCTCGAATTTCAAAATTTACCTAAAATTGCGACAAAGTTAGGGGACGCTCATCTTGTGCTGCAAATTGGACCTGGGGTGCTTCAGCCTGATGCAGAAGACGACGGCGGGGTTGACATCGTCTTCCTCCATGGGATCGTCGGGCTCGTCCACTGGCTCTTCCTCTTCGTCTTCTCCTCCTCCTCCTTCTCCTCCTCCAATGCTCTCAATACTCCCCGTTTCGGACTTGTCCCTCTCAAGGGAATGAGCCACAGGCTCGTCGTCCGAGCAAAACTGACTTGGAAACGCTGGATTAGATCGATTCCAACCAAATCCCAATCGAATCCAAAATAGGTACAAATCTTTGAAATCCAAAACCAAAACACATCAGATATCAACAAAAAAAAAAAAAAAAAAAAGCAAATTCAAAACCCTTGCCGTCAGAAACATGCAAAACTTCCTTGTAAAGGACCGATCGAATGAGCGGAAAAATATTTCGAATCGAACCCAAAAGAAGTATAAATTAACGATAATTGAAGAACAGCAAAGCAAATGGCCCAAGATTTTGAACAACAAAACCAACGAAGAAAGATGAAGACATAAAACAGAACGGCAGACGATGGAACCCGAGGTATGTGAGAGAGGAAAAAAGGAAGGCAAAGAAACGTCTACAACGATTCTGCTCTCCGTTTGACAGCAAAGCAAAAGTGGCAAAGTTGAAATAACAACAAAAAAAGCGGGGCAAAAAGGGAAGCACACTGTTAATGACAGTAACTTTTCTGTTGAGTTATATGTATAACTAGAATTTGTACCCGCGCGCTGTTGCGGGATTGAAAATTATATGAAAGATTATACAATTTCAATCTTTATAAACAATGTTTGAGTCAAAAACTGAGTTACCAATGCCAATGCAAATTATACACAACCTCATCATGAATGAAACAAATTTAAATATCAAAAGAGAAACCTATTTCGTCTATTAAAAATATTACGAAGTTCTTTGGATACGAAAAAACACAAATTGCTTCCTGTCCAAAAACATTAATGGGAAATATTGTTTACTGCAACGCTAAAAGTTGTCTTATGTTATGTTGGTCATTAAGCAAGCATCCCAAGCAAGGGAAAAAAATTGAAATAAATTTATAGACAGTATATCATGAACAAAATAAGGATAATACGTGTTTACCTAGTGTTTTTGTGTGCGGAAAGAAGTTTGATTTTGCACGAAATGGAAATGACCTTCTCTGGCATTTCTATTTCTATAAGACGCGATCAAACTTTTGTGCCTTTCCAACTTGCCTTGCAACCAAGTTTCTACAAAAACAAATCAAATTCAAAAAAGTAATTAGACCAAGGCATAAGAGATTATAAGAAAAAGTATAGAAAATATAAACCACATATACCACTTATTATACTACTTTGTATTCCGAATACACCTAAAAATATATCGCTTTCTAGTGAATGGTTCGGTTCCAATTAATTCCACTTTAGTTTCTTTCAAACCCTTCAAATTATCCTTGACTTTTTTTTTTTTTTAACGGCATCGTAATTAAGAGTTAGCTAATAATAAATATACAAATCTGTTAACCTTTAGTTGACCCTCAACATGTGCTTGGAAGAGGGCTCTTCCAACATCCTGAAATCATGTCAGGAGTTAAAAAGGAGCAAGAAAAAACTAATGTAAGAGCTTTGTAAAATTGAGGCAGAGCATATTACCTTATGGGCCTCAGTAAAATCAGGTGGACCAAATTCTATTGCCATGGTTTCATCATCCAATTTGTCAACCATCTGAAAAATGAAGAGAGAGTATCTACATAAGTAAAATCTGAAAAGTAATAGCAATAAATGAGTCAGTTGTTTAAAACAACGATCTAGCTAAGACAACATCCATACCTGCATATAATTCACAACTTTTGAGACAGAACAGTGTAATAAGGAATTTCCACCAAGTTCATTTTCAGAGATCTACCAGTCCCTCTCAAAAATCTCACTTCAATGAAAAGGAAGTTAGGCCACACTATAAAATGCACAACTCCAGCTTTTTTCAAAAATGATATTCTAAGAAGCTAAATGCTTGAAGAACCTAAGAAGAAGATAATATATAAATTAATACTAAATTGTAATATTAAATCTACATATACTAAAGTAAAGTTATCGTAAATGCCCAAAAATAAATCTAAACAAAAACTTGAAACTAAAACTAAATGGTTATCAAACGGCTCCTAAGGGAATACACATTTTGGATTTATTAAATGGAGTTTTTCAAACCTTCAACTAAGTGAAACTACTATACAAATACTAAAGAATAATATCGTATAGCCTTAACTCAATCTTCTCAAAATTGATCATGACACCCCCTTTCGTACCATATGGAATATCCCTTGCCTACAATGTTGCTAACAGAAGCCTTTAAAACTATAATGAATGGAAAGACAGAATCCTCAATCTTTCAAACATGGATTACCAAAGTTACATGATCAGTCTGCAGGGTCACTTGAACAGGTTCAAAATGGGTGACCACAGGCAGATTGAGATGAAAACTTGAAATTTGAAATAATGAGAAGCAGGCAAATTTAAGGCCCTATGCAAGCAACTTCTCAATGCACATCACCCTGGATCTATAATTGTCTTCAGAAGAGCGCTTCCTCTCCAATATACCCCAACATGACCTTCTGGGATTGATACCAGTCCTTGGTTGATACCCAGGTTCTGGTTCACAACTAAATTTATTAATATTCACATAATCATGAGAGATGAGACACGATTAGATTATTAGGTTCACAACTAAATTAAAAAAAAATTCACATAATCATGAGACATCATTCCAACTCATTTCATAAACCCAAAGGAAAATCTAAAATGAAACTATGATTTCCACCACAAAGAAGTTGGAATTCTCTATTGTCACCACCCTGTTTTCTCTGCCTAGAAATTGGAAGAATCCAATATTGGACCCATATTCTCACACTAAATAGCAAAAAAAAAAAAATTCTAAAGTTTTAAGAAATTAGGAGCCAAAATTCCATAATTAACCAAAACAAAGAAAAATATCTAAAACCCAGATTTGAAAACATAGAAATAAACATATATACCACTCGCCATTTCAATGGCTTCTGGTTCTGTAAGGTTATTTATTTGACTGCTGCAGGGTATACGAAACCAAGCGTAAAATAAATGGAGCATGTTCAGAAAATATCCCAAATGAAAACCCAAAAAATCAGAAGAAAGAAGACCAAAAAAAAAAAGAAACGCGTTCCTAAATTTCTTTTTGAGGTTTTATCAAAAATTTGTAAACCAAAATTAAATTCCAATCCAAACTCAAATTGCAAAACAATCAGAGCATACAAATTTAATAACCCAAAAGGTTAATGAAACCAAAGCTATACTTGAGTACCTCACTCAATGTTTCAGTTAGGTGTGCAGCATATGCTTCCTTGTGAAACAGTTTTCCGCAGGCGCTTCCCACGACCAAGAGCTACTTCTTCCTTACTTTGATATTTTTCCATCTACAAATCCAACAAAATGCAAGTAAGTCCTTAATAAATCAAGAAAATGGGAGATGGAAAGCACTTGTACACAGGAAACCTCATCAGAAACATTAAAGAATTCAGCCTCCCCTCGAAATCCAGACGCCAATTTCATCGGTTCCTCCGATTTCCAGAAACCAATCTGAAGCACGCAGCAATCCTAGTAAAGAAAATGAGAGAGAGAGAGGGTAGGAGAAGCAACGATCTTTTATTTTTTTGGATGAGAGAAAGCGGAATACAGCAGAAAAGTCAAGAAGCGGAAGTCGAAGTAGAAGGTGCAGCGATGATGGACGCGTGGGATAGGAGGGCAAACCCATCTTTTTGCTGTGTAAAATGGAAAAAAAGGGCTAATATCAAAGGAATTGGATGGCATTTTCGTCCTTATACTGTTAATGAACAATGTTTTTAGTTGAGTTTTAGGGTGTATTCAATTGAGATTTTGAGATAATTTCATTCTTTTAATGAATCTAGGGGTATTCAATCAGAATTTTCAGTGATTCTCTAAAATTCAAGATGTATTCAATTAGAATTTTAAGATAGTTTATTAAAATATTTAGAAATCCGGATGTATGCAATTAGGATTTTAAAGAAGTTTATAACATTCTAGGTGTATTCAATTAGAAATTGATTTTAAAGAAATTGAGAAAGTTAAGGAATTAGAGAGAATTAGAGAGATTTTGTAGTATATTTTGAGTATCCACAAATGACACACCCCGGTCGAGATCAGGGCATGTTGGCCGTCACGTGGAAGTGACGTAGCCATGTGCACAGTGCGGAAGCTAATAAAATAATAATAAAAATAATACGAATAAATAAAATCCAGCTTAACACAAGGTAATAACATACATGTGCAAGCAAAGTGTGAAAACAAAGTTCAGAGCACGAAGACCTAATGCAGTCCGGGAGAGAACGACACTACAAAAGCACACCCAAAGGTGGTCCTACACTGGTGATAGTCTGTCAAATATGCCGGGGAAATCCTCAGGAAAGCCACCAAACGTGCTAGCCAACTAGAACCTGGAGGGGCACAAAACAAAAGCGTGAGTGAGCAAAAACAAAGCTTTTCAAAAACCATTTCAAAACAAGTTCTAACCCCTCGTCGTAAAACCTGTATACTTCCCAGAAAAATAGAATATACATATATATAAGTCATGCTCGGGAATATGCCATGCCAAATGTCTGTAAATAGAATGCCAATGCTCAGGAATGTCAAATCAATGTCATATAAGCTGTCAGCCGGAGTCACCTAACGTGATCTGTACAGCTGAATCTAGAGCTCAAATCTCTATTCACTAACTATACCTGCACACGAGTCGGAACCACCTAGACTGGTTTGTACGACAGGATTGGGTGTAATATATATACGCTCAAGTGTTACGATCACGTAAAGGCTGGGCGACGAATCGCGGGTCACCTACGAGTCGGAACCACCTAAAGTGGTATGTACGACATGACTGTGCACCTAACTTGGATCCAAGATGAGTGTGTGGTGCGGGAGGTGAACATCACGTGAAGGACTGTGCCCAACTCTGGGCGGGAGCACTAACACCGGAGGTGCAGGTTATGAGCTCTCTATGTATCTCAAATCACTACTGAACATCAACGTAAATCATAACTCACCTGGCACTTACCTGTGCGTCCGCAGCACCAAACATATATATACATATGCGACTAATAATGTATAAATAAATGGCAAACAATAAGCATGGCATAAAAACGTATAAACGTTTCAATTCATTTTCTGGGAAAAACATAAGTATATAGGTATATACGGAAAACCAAAAGCCCACTCACTGGTATGTAGAAGGGTCATAACCCCCTTGCCTCGAGTGACCGCGCTCGTCCTCGAGATAGGTCTCACCTATATGCGAAACAACTATAAAAACGTTAATTTTAAAGCACATAACCAACCTTATGAAATAACTTCTCATACAATGCTCAAATGGGGTGTATGAATACACCAATGTGATCTACACAACCTCAGGAACATCCCCAAATTTTTAGAAACATTTTCCACAGTCTCACGCGCCCCCACGCGCCGGCCACGCGCAAGCACGTGCCTGGCACACTGACGGCGTCAGTTAACGTCGTCAGGAATATTCCGTTAACTTTAACGGATTCCGTTAACGCCGTTAGGAATATTCCGTCAGTTTTGACGGAATATTCCGTCGTCTTCTCCGGCGCCGGAAAATCGGGAAATTTTCAAATCCTTCTATCTTCTTAGTTTTTCAACCAAATTTCACAAAATTGGTACCAAAATGAAGCTTACAACGAGAGGAACAAATTCATACCACTTTCAAGTGCTAAAACACACGGGATCTCGCCGGGAATACACCACCAACTCCAGCCAACCTCGAAACTCACTATCCCGACGTCCAAAACCTTCAAACGAACCATCCCGAGCCTCTTAAGGACCTCACCAAGCTTCCTACAAGCTTGAAATTCCCAAAAACACAAGAATTAACGTGTGCATGAACAGTGACAAAATCGGGGTATCCCGAGTTCGACGTGAAAACGAAGGTATCCTTACCTGAAATGGGTATGGTTGAACTTCTACGGACCTCACGAGCAAGAATATGTACTTTGTTTCTTCGATTTGTGAAAATTACAAGGGTTTTGGGGTATGTCCGTACAATGGGATAGGAAATGGGGAAGGGAAATGGCACGGGACAGGGCGCAGGGCAGGGAAAGGATGAGGGAAATGTGTGGGGAAATGTGTGTGGTCCACAACCAGCCACACTAAGCTCAAAACAACCACACAACGTAAAAATCACACTAGGGGTAAAATCCTCCTTTTACACGTACGTTTTAAAAATTCTGGAACGGGCTGTCACAACAAATCTCACCTCTTCACATGAGATTTCGAGGGAATTGAATCAAAATTTTATATGGAATCTCTACAAATCAATTAAACTCCATAAAAATTCATGGATTTATAAATCTATTAGAGTCTCTCAAATTCTCAATTGAATACACCTCCTTAGTATACGTATAATTTCTTTTCTTTTTCTATTTTTAAGTTTTTAATTATTAAATTTTTTAAATTTTTTATTAATTAACTTTTTTTTTTTATTAGTTAAATATTTCTTAATGGTTAACTTAACAAATTATTTAACGGTTGTATGACAGTAAAATGAAATAATAGTAAATATATGTGATTAAACTATTTTAAAGATGTTGTGTGAGGTGTAATTACACCAAAACTTGAAGGTGCAAAATATAATTTGCCCTTATTTTTATTACACCAATCTCATTAATTCAAAAGCCCAACCCAACTATCCATATAACTATAGAAAATACTGTTACATCCCCGCCTAGGCCCCCACCACATCTCGGGCTAAACTCCACCGTTACACGATATTGTCCGTTTTGGGCCCCGACCACGCCCTCACGGTTTTGTTTCTAGGAACTCACACAAGAACTTCCCAGTAGGTCATAATTTGGTATCAGAGCCAATCCCTAGTCGGAAGTACGTCGACGAGGACGTTGGGCCCCTAAGGAGGGTGGATTGTAAAATCCCACATCGCCCAGGGGTGTGAATCCTATAAGACTTATATGTATATTCCCATCTCTACGTAGCATGAGGCCTTTTGGGAGCTCACTGGCTTCGGAGTTCATTGGAACTCCGAAGTTAAGCGAGTTCGCACGAGAGTAATCCCAGGATGGGTGACCCACTAGGAAGTTCTCGTGTGAGTTCCCAGAAATAAAACCATGAGGGCGTGGTCAGGGACTAAAGCGAACAATATCGTGCTACGATGGAGTCGAGCCTGAGATGTGATGGGAGCCCAGGCGGGGATATGACAAATACCCTCTCCAATTCTCATTATTAGGGTGGGCAAATGGGTCTAGGACCAGTGAATAGAGACGGGTACTTGCGATTTAGGGCAGGTTCAAATTTATCAAATAAGAAATGGGACAGGGCAATGCGAGGTGAATGTAATTACGGGGAGAGGCGGATCCAAAACTTAAGAAGCACGGGGTCCTAAACTGGCCCGTATCTAATACGAAATTAATGGATTGGATCCGCTCACTACCTCGATTCAACCTTTTCTTTTTCCAGTCATCTCCAGAGTAGGCTTCGTTTGGCACACCGTATAAGACACCGGATAGTACTATATAATACAAAACAGGTGTTTGGTGAGTTTTAGACTAAATAAGCACCAGATTATTAATTTGGCCCAACCTTTTTTCATACCCTTTACGCCCACTTGCTTATCCCGTCCTATACCTTGGTATTATTTAGTCAAGTTCATGAACTTCACGCTAAAGCAAAAACAATTGCTTCAACCATTTCGCCATCTGCTTCTACACATCAGGAAATCTTTCTCAACTAAGGTATTCCTTCTCTCCCTCTTTCTCCATTCCCACCTCCGATTAGCATCAAGTAGATTTTGAACGGAAAACCAGAGGTGGCAGATCGAATCCAAGTCACGTCGTTCCTGTTGTGGAGAGACATTATTTGGGTATTTGGCTTAATTTTTATTTGATTTTCATGATGTTCGGTGATTAAACTCAAAACTAGAAAAAGATTTCATCTGGGTTTTGGTTTCAATGGATTAAAAACTCAAAATTGGGTTTTTTTATATTTCACCTGGGTTTTTGGCTGCACTGACTCCCTTGTAAAGCATGGACATGGACTTTCTGCTTGCTAGGTGAGCAAGCTACAATCAATAATTTGGAGATTTGCTTTTGCAAATATGATTGGTCAGTGGATGGAAAAAAAGGAAGACGATAATGGTCGCGAAAGAATTGATGACTTTTTATTTGCTTTTCGTTTTTTTTAGGGGATTGTGAACTTTTATTTTTAAAAACACATTTGTATTTTTTTTTTGAATTATCAATTTAAAAATATTATTAACAAGTACCAAACATATATTTGTAAAAAAAATGTACCAAATACATAATAAATAATATGGTTATTAGTCCAGCATTCACCAAACGCCCGACTAATTTAGTCAGTACTATCCGATGATTGTTTATCCTATCCGACTGAAATAGTCAGTACAGTCTGAGCTGCTAAACGAGGCCAGTCTCCTCCTCCTTTACACCACATAGCCTGCCATTATCACCGATTCACCATCATCTTCTCTTGACTCCCAATCGCGAGTTGCCACCACCACCACTCCATCATCGCATCAGGAACACACCACCATCTTGCAAAAAATTAGTTAATTTTTGAAATAGGGTTTTTTATTTTAGACATTCTTCAACCCTGAGCTAAAAATCAAATTTCCACTTGTATTCCCCCACCCCAAAAAAAACTCAACCCAACCCAACGCTATAATGTGGCTTAAAACCTAAAACTCAAATGGAAGCCA